CCACCATGCCCAGGCAGCATAATGTTTTTAAAGTTCATCCATGTATCAGTAGTATATTTCTGTTTTAAAAAAATTTTTTTTAGAGACAGAGTCCCACTTTGTTGTCCTTGGTAGAATGCCCTGGCGTCAAGGCTAACAGAAAACTCCAACTCTTGGGCTTAGGCTATTCTCTTGCCTCAGCCTCCCGAATAGCTGGGAATATAGGTGCCCACTACAACGCCCGGCTATTTTTTGTTGCAGTTTGGTTGGGGCTGGGTTTGAACCCACCACCCTGGGTAGATGGGGCCGGCACCCTACTCCCTGAGCCATAGTGCCGCCCAGTATATTTCTTTTTATATCCAAACAATATTCCCATCGTGTGGATATCATACATTTTATACATTTTATCATTCATCAGTTGATGTACATTTGGAGTGCTTCCACTTTGGGACCATTATAAATAACAAATGTTGCTATGAACACTCATGTACAAGTTTTTGTTTGAAAATATGTTTTCAATTTTCTTGAGTATAATCCAAGGAGTGAAACTGGTAACTTTATATTTGACATTTTGGGGAGCTGCCAAATTGTTTTCCAGAGGGGATGTACCATTTTGCAATTCAACCAGCCTTATTATGAGGGTTCCAATTTCTCTCTATCCCCACCAACGCCAACATTTTCCTTTTTTATTTTAGCCATCCCAGTGAGTAGAGCTCATTGTGGTTTTGATTTATATTTTCCTCCTATTGAAGTGAAGATGTCACACAGTTATCTTTTCTTGTGTTTATTGGCCACTTATGTATCTTCTTTGGAGAAATGTCTATTCAAATTCATTGCCCATTTTAAAAATTGGCTTGTATAATTATAATAGTTCATTATATACTCTAGATATGTCATTTACTTGACATAATGACAAATAAATAATATAATTTTTAAGTTTATTTTTCCCCATTCTGTGGGATTTATTTTTTTACTTTTTTTTTGTTTTTGTTTTTGAGACAGAGTCTCACTCAGTTGCCCTGGGTAGAGTGCCGTGGCATCACAGCTTATAGCAACCTCAAACTACTAGGCTCAAGCAAGTCTCTTGCCTCAGCCTCCTGATTAGGCACTGGCTATAACACTGGGGTATTTTTAGAGATGGGGTCTTGCTCTTGCTCAAGCCAGTCTGGAACTGGTGAGCTCAGCCAATCCACCCTCCTCGGCCTCCCAGAGTGCTAGGATTATAGTTTGGGTGACTGTGCCCAGTCTTGTTTTACTTTCTTGATGATGGCATCCTTTGAAGCACAAAATGAAGCCTAATTTATCTATTCTTCATTTTGTGCTTTTAGCACAGACCTGCTATTTTTTTATAGAACATTTGTGGTATTTCAACTACATTGATGGGTTAAATGGAGTTTTGAGAACTAGCCTGTGAACCCAGCTGAAATTTATAATTTCTCTGGAAAAATACATCAATGGCTTGGTGCCCATAGCACAGTGGTTATGGCGCCAACTACATACACCAAGGTTGGCAAGTTTGAACCCAGCCTGGGTCAGCTAAACCACAATGGCAACTGCAATAAACAATAGCCGGGTGTTGTGGTGGGCAGCTGTAGTTCCAGTTACTCGGGAGGCTGAGGCAAGAGAATTGCTTAAGCCCAAGAGTTTGAGGTTGCTGTGAGCTGTGATGCCACAGCACTCTACTGAGGGTGACAGTAAGACTCTGTCTCAAAAAAAGAAAAGAAAAGAAAAATACGTTAATGGGACTAATAATGTTTTAGAAATAAACGCTTGACTCATGCATGTCATTGTAGGACAAACATGGAGTGTTGCAGACAGAGGCTGGAGGGGTCAGAAAAGGATTTGGGGCAGACGAGGGCTGGGGCTGGAGGGGGTGGGGTTCCTGGAAGGAAGAATTAGTAGAACTGAAATAACACAGAGGAACCTATCCTCCTTTTAGAATGAGTGAAGGGGTTTTGAATCTAGAATACTTAAGAGCCTCGTTTGTTCAGATTAGCCACATAGGGTTATCAGAACTGGTGCAAACGAGAAAACTAGGAATGCACAGAAGAGTGGGCAGCCTCAGTGCGCTGCCCCTGAAGGCCGCGGCAGGCACTTCAGTCCTGTGGGAGAGATCAGCCACACTTTCCCTCTGACAGCCAAGTCCCAGAGTCACTCTAGCCATGTCCAGTGCCGACTCAAACTTTGAGTTTCTATAAATGGCCAATAAACACACGACAATGTGCGTGTGTGACATCTTTACTTCCACAGTGGCCCCTGGGCTGTTCTAGTAGAAAGAGGGTTAAGGATAACATGGGGCAATGGCCTATCCTCCTGGGAATGCCTGCGTCTCCTGAGACTTGTAGGGAAGAGCACTTTGACCAGGGTGACCTTATGTAGCCATGTGAACCCAGCAGCTTTTAGGGGATCTCAGGGAATGAGGATAAAGGGGATGGGAGGGGTTTGGGCTGAGCCATGGGGAAAGATATTTGTTTTGACCCATACCAGGTAATTAAAAATAGCTGAAAGTTTAATTATTTCCTTTTTAGTTTGTATACAATTATCCCTGCCAAAACGGTTGATTCAAAGCAGCGATGACAAAATGTTATGGGCCCTGAATCCCCACGTGAGGAATAGCCCCAATGCCCTGTCAGTATCCACGTGTGTGGGAAACCGCCCGCCCTCATGCCACTCCCAGACTTCCGTTGCCTGCAAGAATTTGTGGAAACAGAAATTACATCTCTCTAAACATTTTATATCTCAGCATCTCCTCATTTCCTCCTTCCACACACATACCCCATATGCCCTTTCAGAGCTCAGTAAATATTTGTCAATGATGAAGACAGCCACTAAAACTATGTTCCCATCCGTGGGATGTATCTCTTGCCCCTCAAGTGTCCTACCCCCATGAGAATTGACTTGCAGACATAGTTCCTTCACTTAAAAAAAAAATCTTTCCATCCCATCTTTTCTGAGTTCTGAGAAGATCTGTTTTTAAAGAGAATACACTTACCCATCCACCATGCTGCTGCACCCAGGGTGAGAAGTTCTCCTTTAGATACTTGGCTCCAAAGCCCAGCACCCTGTTCATGGGGTGGTTGTCGATAGCTGTGAGCTTGGCCATGACGTCTATTGCAAGCGCAGCCTTAAAACCTTGAGCTTTGACCTCTGACTCTCCCCTGGTGTCCACAGCACTTAGGACCTGGTCTGTGACAGTCTTAAAAACAGCATAGGGCAGCCCGTCTGGGAAGCTGCTCATCAAAGCCTTGTCTCTCTTCAGCTGTGGACAGAGGATAAGCATTCAGCAGAGCAGCTTGGCTCAGCAAGGCAGACACAGACCACTCTTTAGCTCAAACTTGGGCCACCAGAATAGTCTGTGAAAAACCCTGGATGCTGGTTTCAATCAAGGCACAGTGTCCTGCAGAACCAGACCTGGTGTGCACTGGTCTATGCATTCATTGCATTGGGATGAATATAGGATAAAATGGGCCAGTCCACTCATTCAACATTCAGTGCCTGTGTCCTGATCTCCCACAGTGAGTGATGAAGAGTCCGGCCCTCACTCAGGGCCTCGCAGTCTAGTGGCGGCCACCAAGACAGTGCTACATGCTTTGCTGGAGGTTGTGCAATGCTCAGGATCTGAAGCTTGGACATCACTGTTTGGGCTTAAACCTCTGTTCCTCCTCCTGCTAGCTGTGCAACCTTGGGGAAATTGCTTAACCTCTCAGGTTCAGTTTTGTCATGTCTAAAGTAGGATGCTGATAATGCCTGTACTGTAGAGTAATGGAACACTTAGCGTAGTGCTGGACTGGTGTGTGTGGGTGCTCTGGAAATGTTATTCATTTTCTTGGACACTGTGGGAGGATGGAAGTTGGGGAGGAGTCTCTGATGTATATTTGTTAACTTAAAAAAAAATCCATTCCGTTGATTCCCTTCCCATTATTCTACCCAATTGATTTTACCACCCACCCATCCCTTGAAACTAGTATTTCTCTCCCTTACTGCCTCTAAAGTACTATAATTTTTTGTTTTGCAGTTTTGACTGGGGCTGGGTTTGAACCTGCTACCTCCGGTATATGGGGCCGGCACCCTACTCCTTTGAGCTACAGACACCACCCCGAACTATCATACTTAAAAAAAAAATCAATATTGTCTTTGCTTCATTGGGAAGTGCGGGCTTATGTCAAAAAGCCATATATCATGCTCATTTAAAGCCATCCTTACATCCTTATGATGTCTGTCACGTGAAAATGGAAATTTCTTAGTGAGCAGGGACAAAATGTTTATTGGAAAACCCTCTAGTTCTGTCCTTGAGGAATGATAAGCTAAGCAGGTTTTCAACGAGTCCTATTTCTAAAAAGAAATGTCTGGGGGATGAGTCCTGTGCTATGTGAAGATCTTGGTGGAGCAGTGTCCTTTCCCTGAACCAAGCCCACCCCTGAACTCCCAGATCCCATCTGGGCTATAAATCTGAATGGGAATGGCTAGCCTCCTCCAGCCTCCTTTTCATCAGTGACCCAACTAATGAGCTAGGCTCAAAACTTAGCAGGCAGCGACCAGTCAGGACTCTGTCAGAATAAGAGAACCAAACTCCAGAAAGACAAGGCCTTCCCCAGAGCTTGCGTCCTGTGCTTTCCCTGCCTGTCCGTCTTGGTTGCACCACGAGTGCCAGGGCTAGCGGCTCTGCAGACGCTCCGTGTCCCTGGCTTACCTGGCCCTGCCTCCCTCTCCCACTTTGCTCTGGGAGCTGCTTACCCACAGGCCTGCCATGTGTCCCTCCCAGAGTCCTCTGCTGGGGAAACGTGTAAAGTAATACACGTTTCTGCGTAAGTAATAAAGTCTCTGCATAAATAGTATAAAATGTCAGTAGAAATCAAGAGAGAGCATCAGGCAGAGTTGAGTGAGGTTTTTGAGATGGTATTTGGAGTGAAAAGGAAAGCATCGTTCTTCAAAGCCCAGGGGTGGCCTACACTACACCCCTTTGGCTTCCAGCATCCCTGACCTCCAGTTGGCTACTGTGAGTCACTACTTAGGGGAGCTGGGAAGGAGGTTTCTCTGAGAGCCACAGAAACCTGGAGTTGTAACGAGCCCTGGAGGACATCTAAGGACCCCTCCGAGTTCCATACTCGGCTGCTGACTGGTTATTGGCCCCTACTTGTGGTTCTTCTAGTGCCAGGAAGACGGTTCCTTCAAAAGCAGTCCTTGGCCCTGACAGGTGTCTCGAGTGCTAGGAAGTTCATCTTTACACTAAGGGGAAATCATTTGCCCCGGCTCTTCTCTAGCTCATTCTGGAGAAAAGCAGGGTTGTCCTCAAACCATCATCCTGTTGTTTCCTGCTTCTCTGCTCCCCTTTCCACCCTTGACTTCTGACCCCAAACCTCACACATCACCTCCTCTTTTCTGTCACTAAATGTCCTTGGTTTTTTCACTGTTTCTCTCTTAGCATCATGGCCCCGGCCCCTCAGCCTCCCAGTCACCAACTCTGGACACAGTTCTGACAAAGCTATTGGGGAAGGGTCAGAGCACACCACGCTGGGGGAGGTGGCAGGCTGGTCACTGCTGTTTCCCCTTCCTGCATAAACTCCCCACACCCCAAGGCCTGCCCCAGGGGTCCTGAATGAGGACATGATTGACACAGGAGAGACTTCTTAGTCATCTCTGGGCACACAAGAGAAACCCTTCTGATTACACTGGGGGTTTGCTAACCAACTCTTGACCTGAAAACAACTTTTACATGTTTCTGAAGGGAAGGATCAGTCACCAAGTGATGCTAACCCGCCTCCCTGGCTGAGCTGCTGGGGAGACCGAGAGCAGACGACAGTCCAACAACTGTAGGGGAGAAGATTTCACCAAGGGCTCCAGCCTGTGACTGACTCTGGGATACAGATATCCAGACTGCAGGGCAAATACAAGCGTTTAAACCTCACTGAGGATCAGTTACATGGGGAACGAGGTTAATATTTCCATCCAGCAAATTTTAATTTACTGATGTTTTTTCTTGCAATAATAAGTTCCTTTCTTAGTTTCCAAAAATTCCAAGGAGGCTCCAGGAGGTTTACTTATGTTTTCCAAAGTGATTCATTTTTGAGACGCTGCCAGCATGAAGAATTTTGACTCTAAGGGAAATAAAATTTAGGACTAAGTAGAAACCAGAACGGTGAAAAGGAAAAAGTTTGCAACCTGGAGTCCCATTCCATTCTCACAGACTAGGCACAGAAAGAAAACACATTAGTCCAAGGAGCTTCATACCTCTTTGTTCAACTGATCCCCTGAATATTTCAGCAGCTCAACAATTTTGCTTATTATTTGGTCTTCTTCCTCTGTCGGGGGAAAAATTCCAGTTATTTCTTTTAAAAGAGGCAGAAGAAAAAAAAATTCTTAAATTTTTCCAGCAGCAATGAATGCCTGTGGCTTGGTAGGGACCGAGGAAGAAGTACTCTGTCTAATTCTTAGCAAATAAATCTCACCTCGCCTCTTCTGCAGCAGCCACAGTCTGTTCCAGCCATTTCTCCCACAACCCCCTCCTTTCCTCTTTTTCCTCCTCTGTCTTGGTTTAGCCTTCCACTTCTCACTGGGAAACGCATTACTGTGTTTACCATACTCAGACTGCAGGGCAAATACAAGCCATAACCATCATCATGTTGCTGATGAGGACATGTAGGAGAAATTTCCCCCTGTTTTTTAGACTTTTCCTAAGTAGATGACACTTTTTCCTTATGGAGACCATAAATCCCACATTTGATCATATTTCCCCCTTTGGATGAGCTGATAGAAAGGATAGCGCCAAATCCGTGGCCCACATCCAAAAGGGAGGATGATCTTCTTGGCCTGCCTTTTGGGAACTGACCTCATCCCTGTCGGCGTGACTAGGCTCAAATAAATAATACCTACTCAGTCAACATACACTGAACTGAGGGACCCTGGAGGCCAACACCTTAAGCCCTCTGCACAGAGACAAGGAAGGGTGCGCCCCTCTCAACATTCCTCACAGGCTTTTATTGAAGTCTCAGGTGTGAGAAAATATGGCACAGAGGAAAGCTTCAAAGAGAGAGTAAAGGATAAAAAGCAAGGAGTTTATTTTTAACTGCATGATCGGACTCCGAACACCCCGTGTACTGTCCTTCTGTCTTGCCTTTTTCTTATCACTGCTAAGTGTGACATGGGGCAGAGACAGGGTGCTGGGTCTAGTGAGCACGTTGTTGGTACGCAGGGCCAGCAGTGATTACTGCCCAGATTACTCTATCTCTAGTACCTAGCTCTTTTAACCCTATGCTCTAGCCTATACATTCTTAAGCCCATCTTGTTTTCTAGTTTTTGTTTGGTTTTCTTTCTACATTATCTTTTTTTTTTCTTTTGAGACAGAGTTTCACTTTGTAACCTCTGGTAAAGTGCCATAGCATCATACATAGCTCACAGCAACCTCAAACTCTTGGGCTCAAGCAATTCTCTTATCTCAGCCAGTAGCTGGAACTACAGGTGCCTGCCACAATGCCCAACTATTTTTAGAAACAGGGTCTTACTCTGGCTCAGGCTGAACTGTGAAGTCAGGCAATCCACTCACCTCAGCCTCCCAGAGTGTTGGGATTAGAGGCATGAGCCGCTGCACCCAGCCTCTTTTTACTTTTCTTTCTTTTTTTTTTTTTTTTTGAGATAGTGTCTCACTCTGTCACCCTGGGTAGAGTGCCATCGTGTCACGGTTCCCAGCAACTTCAAACTCCTGGACTCAAGTGATCCTCTTGCCTTAGCCTCCCACATAGCTGGGACTGGGTGCCCACCACCACTCCTGGCTAGTTTTTCTATATTTAGTAGAGATGGGGTCTTGCTTTTGCTCAGGCTGGTCTCAACTCCTGAGTTTAAGCAATCCACCTGCCTTGGCCTCCCAGAGTGCTAGGGTTACAGGTGTGAGCCACCACACCCAGCCTTTTTACATTATCTTTCAGGTTTGATTTCTTTCATCTCACTGAAATGCATACTTTAGTATGCTGCATCTCTATACCACATGGTAGACAGATACATAAAATTAATGACTCCCCACACCTTCTAAGCTAAGACAGCAGGGGGAGGGAAGGGCAGTGACACTGTTGGTGTGTGGTGTGGATGTAGGAACAGGGGAGGTGGAGTATGATTTTTCTCTTGCTAACAACTAAACATAAACAGAATGGTCAGCGCTGCAGAACAGAATCCAAACAGAGACAAAGCAGGCACTGAGAACAGCACTTGTCATGGCACAGTCCCTGGGCCACATGGAGTCCTCAGGGTGGTCCTCAGTGAAGGGGAAAGAGAGGACAGGAAATTGGTGCACAAAGTCCCAAGAAGGTCTAGGCAAGAGGTAAGTGAGGAGACAGAAACTCGGGTTGCTTGAGAGAAGAACGAATGTGTGTCAGCACAGCTCCAGTGTGAGTCTCATCTGTTGCTGCCTTTCTTGGGGAAAGTTGTAGGAGCAGCTGCTTCAGTTTCTCCCGGGCATGGAAGATGACGGCCTTAGCGTCAGCTTGGCTCAAGGGAGTGCATCCCATCTCCCTGACACCCGTGGGATAGCAAAATGGTGTCAACACTCTTTTCAGCAAACACAGAGGACTCCTCCTGTCCCCAGCGCCTCCCTTGGAGCTTCTGTGGCAGTTTGTGGCCCCTGCAGTGTGGACACCACTCTGCTTCAGGGGTCAGGAGACACTGGTGCTGTGGCAGGGAGAACACGCACATTGTCATTTGAGGTGCTGCAAACCCAGAAGCCACCTGTGCCTCTCCTTGGGGAGTGTTTGGAGAGCGAGAGCCAGGGCAAGGCCTGTCGCTGGTGAGGGAAGGCGGGACTGAGCTGCTCCTCCTGTGGGCTGTTCCTCCCCCCTCAGAGCCCAAATTTCCCATCAGCCAGGTGGGATCTACAGTCCCAGCTATTGCTCTGATTTAGGTGACAACTGGCCCAGAGTGGTCACTACTTCTCCACTCTGCTCCATGTTCTGTACCATTCCTGGTGTCTGATGACCCCCTCCCTGCTTTTTCACAGGCACCCAGAGCAATGTTCTAAACCTCTGACTTCATCTTGCAACACTTGCACCCATTGCTATGGGTGCCTCTTCATATCCAATGAGATAGGTCCAGGGTCACTGGTAACATCATCAAATTTAACACTGCATTTCCTGCTGGGGACAAGGCGAAAGGTGGGCTCTGTGTTGTCTCCTCTCCCTTAGTAGAAGACTTTTCTACTGCCTTAGCAGTGAACTGGATATGCTGGTTCAACCTGCTGGTGCAGCCTCCTGCCTTGGGCTAGGGTCTCAAGCTAGAGTCAGAGCTCCTAGCATGTGGTGGTCATCCCTCAGTCTGGTCTGCCAGAGACTCACAAATAGCAAAGGCTTGGGCTGAATAAATCCATGAACACCCCTATGCCTCTGCCTGGCAAGCATTGTACCCAGCGCAAACACCCGGAAGGAAAGTTTACCTTTCTTAGAACTTGATGCTGCAGGCTGGGCGCCTTCAGCCCGGAACTGGAGAGACTGTGGTGTCCAATTCCTTTTGGGCTTGAAGCCCCCTGCCTGGGCTTCTAGTGGTGGCCAGGAATAAACAATTTCAGCAACTCGGTTGGCAATGGAAACAACTTTGGGGTCTGCAGCTGAAACAAGACAAAACGGTGCTGAGAGGCCCTTCCCAGAAGAACTTGGCCCGGCTCATTGGTATGCACAGTTTCCCGCAATGAAAAGACCAGCCCAGAAAGAGAGGAAATTGCCCAGGAGTGTGAGTGTGTGTGTAGGGAGGGAGGGTCACTGTTCACAAAGGACTGGCAGTTGCCTGGCAGAGGCTGGGATGTGGGAGGAGTACAGAGGAATGATTGTCACCTTGAAACAATTACCCTTGTGCACCTTCTTTTTGAAGCCTTACAAAATTACGATCTCCTTTCCCTCTTTGCAAGGGAAGAAATACAAAAGGGAGTGCTTTAGTGCTTTTCTTGAGTGAATGCTCATTATGCTTTTATTTTTATTCTTTTTATTCTTCTGGACATGCTTTATACCTCAGAGAGCTGACCCCTACAGGCATAGGAGGACACTCAGTAGTTTGACGAGCTCTGGGGAGTTGGCCACTCAGGGCAGAGAAACATCCCTACTCTCAGGCCATATTCATCACCCAAGCCCATCCTCAAGTAAGCATTCAACTCTCCTTGCTGGTATAGTTCCACAGCTTTTCTATTTTCTGGAGAGCATTCAATGAATGCTTATGATAAACAGAGGAGCACAGTATGCAACCCAGGGCTTCCAAGACTTTGCAGTTAAGACAAGAATCACATCAGGTGTCTGCACACAAAATTATAGAATAGAGCATTTTGAGACAGGAAGGTTTCAAGATGGATCCCCTGAACACAGTAGCCTGTAAAAGAGCAGCCACTTCTGCCCGCTGGTTGGGGACAAGGTGAAGTGGGCTGGGTAGGTGGTATGGCATTGGGTAGGGAAACTTTCATTGTTGATTGTCATTATATTCCCATTTTTAAAGAGCTGTGCAAGCTCTGTCTTTGATGCCAAACGGAGCGGCTGAGTTGTATCATATGACACTTGAATAACACTACTTAATTTTCAAGACGTAAAGAAAGTAATGGAACAGGGGTTTGGGCCAGGAGGTTGGGGTGCCAAAACTCCTGGGGGACTCCTGGGCTTGGCAAATCATGACAGAGAAGTAAGACAAGAGCTGGGGCCTGGGAGCTGTGTGCTGGTCACCCAGGATGGGCTACCTAAGGTCGCAGAGGTAGCAGAGGCCAACTTTCCTGAGGACACACAGGGGAATATTCTCTTGGCTTTGGAAGCCAGAGTCTCTTGATGTTTCCTTGCAGGGGATGTGGATGGCCAGCATTCAAGAGGGGCCTGATGGGGCTGCAATAGGTGATTAAAACATACGAAGTACATTTGTTAGTTATTAAAATGAGAAGGCAGAGCATTGATTCTTCCCCTTGGCTTCTTTCTCTCATTCACTCCTTATCTATTTTTGAACCTTATGGACTAAGCATGAGAAAAGTGGCTTTTTAACCCAAATGTCCACCTGAGGAAGGCCCTATGGACAGAGCACCGAGGCTCCCATGCAGCGGGGTACTCCAGAGAGGGAGGATGTGATGTCACCCTCTGCCCATCTTGCATGCTAAGCTATTGATTTCTGTGACCGAGTGGCCCTGGAGAGGGAGGCAAATGAAATGTGTGCAGGACAAATGGTAACCAAACACGTCTGAATGCAGATGAACGGGCTTTAGTTAGGATTCCTACTTTGAAACCTTAATTTTAAGAAAGAGGAGAGTCCCTTCTTGTCAGACTTGGTCGCATCTGACAGGCAAGGGAAAATTGGATGGGAGTGGGGACAGGGCTGAAAGGTGCCGTCTTTGGAGTCCAGTTGAGGGGCCATTGAGAGTGGGAGGGCAGGGCAGGAAGGTGCTGCCAGCCTGGGGCCTGAAGTTTTTGTTTTAAGAGAAGAGGCAGGGAGTTCCAGAGTGACTTCCTTATAATAGAGACAACGGTTTTCCATTCTATCCATTTTCTTTTTCTTTAGTAACAGACCCTTAAAATGTGAGTAGCAACAAAGGATCCAGCTGAACCAACTGCGTTTTCCAGCCGCCCTTGCAGTAAAGGGTGGCTGGTGAGATACCCAAAGTTGAGAATAGTTTCAAGAAAGCTCTCTGGGTTTGAACCCGCCACCCTTGGTATGTGGGGTCGGTGCCCTGCCCACTGAGCCACAGGCACCGCCCTCAAGAAAGTTCTCTAGCAAGGAGCTGAGTCATCTAAAGAAAGGTGCCCTTGGTCCTCCTTTGCTTCCTTTTCCTTCCTGCTTAAAATGTAGACATAATGGCTGGAGCCGCCTAGGACATAAGGTGACTTTGAGGTTGGAAGCCACTAGCGAGGGATGGCAGAACTCCCAGGAATGCCAAATGCCCCGTGCAGCAGCCAGATGAGGCCTGAGTTGCCAAATTTTTATCTTCTTTTACGGAGAGGAAAATAAACCTCTGTATTATTTAAACCATAGTTATTTGGGTTTTCCACTACCTGTCATTGAACCTATCCTTAACGGTAACATTCCCTATGTGGTCAGTCATAGCTATGGAGAAACAGAGCCTCACGACTAAGACAGTCCAGATTGGTGGTCTTCAAAACAGGGGTCAGCGTCCACTTTCTTATATTCAAGGCCTTTTCCTAACAAACTTTGTTCTTGGGACATAACCTCACACTCCCCACTTTAAGGCTGGTAGCTGAGTTCTGGAAATGGCAGCACAAGGCTAAACTGTGATCTTCGGTTAAAAGAACACAGGTGAAAACTGTTCACTCTGCTGTGTGCGTGGCAGAGCAGAAATAGGACGGGTGGCTCCCTGGGTCACACCCAGCAGAAGAGCCAATACAAGTAACATATAAAGCACACGATAAACTAAATAAACAGGAAAGTGAGGAGAAAGGTGAGAAGGAAGATAAGCCGGACTTATGCATTTAAGGCAAATTGCCCTTAGGAGGTTCTTGTCTGTTCTTTTCCAGGGAGAATGTACGACGTATATATAGTTACTTAGCCACAGATACCATTCAGCTGTTCAGCGTAGAAACCCATTGTCTACGTGTTTTTCAAATTTAACCTTTTATTCTAAATCTTACATAAAAGATTTCTTTTCCCACTGAAAAAAGAAGAAAAAAACATGTTCCTCAAAAATTTAGAAAATTTTTAAAAAAGGCCAAATGACACTTGAGTAAATATCAAAATATAGAACGTCATTTAGCTTAGCAAAAGCCTGAGAATGAAGGTCTGTAAAAGCTTTCTCTGACTCCCAGTAAAGTCCACAGTGCAGGCAACGCAGAAAAGACCATTTAGGTGCCTCCAAACTGTTCTTTGCTGCAGAGCAGATACTATCCCCCGGTAGGAGCAGAGGCTGGGGTTCCAGCAAGGCCGGAGGGAAGGCCCCCACCCTCCTTTTGCTCTAGACTTGCTACTGCAGCCTTAGCCCGGCAGAGCTGAGAGCAAATGGCTTGTTGCAGAGGGCAGACACAGTCCTAGTTTGACGTTGGTTTAGTCCAGGCTGTGCTGCTACTTCCCAGCTGTTTCCTCTAGCAATCCCCTTCTGTGGGACTCTCATTTCCTTATCTGTGCTGTGAGGTTCCCCCAGGTAACCCTCACCCTAACCCCTGCTATTTCTATAACTCTGATGGGAAAGGGAATTTCCTAGACCTTAGTGAATGATCGAAAGCTGTCCATGAACAAGCTAATTTTCCAAGTAAGTTGGGACATTTACATTTTAATATCGAGGCATTACTGCCACCTGTTGACTAATTATTAACAAGTTACGGGGCCAATCAAACCCAGCAGGAGGGGAACTGTCTTTGAAAATCTGGGCAGGGGGTGGGGAGCAGTGGGCCTTGTGGAAGGTGAAGAAGATGCTTACACCAAGGTGTCTGGACAAAGGCCAATTGTTTATGATAAAGCTTCTCATGAAAATGTTGCATTCAATATAATGAATTCCGTCCCACTGAGGGAAGATTTTGTTAAAATGCTTCTCATTTTGGAACGGTTTATACTTTGAAGAGTATTTTTATATATAGCTCTATGATCTTTCTATCAGCCCTTAGAGGCAGGGAGGGTGGGATAGACCCAATGTACAGATGGAAACACAGAGGCCCTGAGATATGGATAGACCTACCCCAGGAAGTGCAGCAGCCTGAGCCCCTGTCTACGGCCCTTTCCTGTAATTCTTCTAATTCCTGACCGATGGAATTAGAAGTTTGGGTAAAGTTTGTTTATAGACAGTGGAGTGAGAAAACCAGTTTCAGCATTCTTTCCTGCCATCATTTTCCTTTCTGTCTTGAGAAAAGTAGGGCAATTATTATTGAATCCTACTAAGTTGGAGCACGGAGGCTCAGTGAGTGTCCTGTCTGAGGCTGCTTTACCAGGCCGGAAAAGATGAACCACTGGGCACACAAAGGATTTGAGGCAGACTTGGGTGTGGGAAGGAAAGAGTTCTCAGCCACTTACCTTCGTGATCTAAGCACCGGTCCACGTTAGAGAGGGACCTGGACCACTGACCGGGAAAGCCACCCTGGTATTTTGCCGTTCTGTGTCCCTGTTCCTGCGGGGACAAGCTCTGTGAGTCCTCCTCCTTCTCCACTAGTCCCAAAAGCACTTTCCAGGAAGACTTTTTCTTGGCGAGGTTTATGGTCTTCTCACTGGATCGGGAGTTTCTGCAAGGCCATGACACCTGTGTCCACGACTCGTTTGCTGACCAATTCTCCAGACCCCTCTGGGACAGACTTCTTGTTCTTGACAGCTTTGGTGAGGTGACAGCAGGGGTGCTCTTGAAGACGTGGTGACTGACATAGTAGGCCAGGATTTTGAATTCCAGGCTGTTTGGGTCATCATCGTCCAGGGGGATTTCTTCCAGGTCACATGAGCTGGTGCTGCACATGATGGTCCTGTAACAACAAAGCCCACATCACGCCCTTCCACGGGTGGCCCAGCCGTTCCTAGGAGGTTAGGAGAGATGGGTGACACCCAGTGAACACTGCTGGAGCACCTGTTTGTGCTGGGCAGCCAGGGATAATCAGAGATGGAAAAGCTGCAGTCTTATTGGGGTGGGAAGAAAGAGATGGGCATAGATAACTCCACACCCTGGGAGGGAGCTAAGCTCCCTAGCAGAGATGCAGATTGCCAGGTAAGAGGAGAGTCAGGAGGGGTAGGTCAGCTTCAAAGAGAGAGGGGCAAATGAAGCTTCTTAGACAGGTGGGTGGATATGGGGGCTAAAAACATGTTGGGCACAGGAAAGACAATGGGTGGATTCAGGATGTGTTTGGAGAGTGCTGAGAGAGCAGGTATCACTAAGAATGGACCTGAGGGTAGCTAGGGCTTGAGAATAGTGGAGGGAAAATAACTAAAATAGCGGCTGGGTCTCATTATGGTGGGCTTTGATCATTAGGCCAAAAGTTTTGCATTTTCTCCTATAGATCAGTACATTTCAAAAGGAGCCTTAGATGGTACAGGAGCTGGTTAAAGGTCTTGCTGAGGAGATGGCAAAGGAGGAGAGGCCAACTTTGGGAGAAACGTCTGGGTGTGCACCTGACCCTTCCCTTTCTCTCTCCTTTCTCCCTCCACCTCAGTTTCTGCTTGTCCAGGTACCCTTCTGTTTCTTGCCATATTTGGCATTCCATGTGAGATTTCATCTGAAAAAGGCATTCGGCTATTATTTTTATTTTCTTACACATTTGGAATACACTGAGGGGGACAATGGAGAGCGGTTCCAAGTTTTAAGTGGAGAGTGCTGTGATCCCAGGTATGCTTTAAGGAGGCTGGTGCAAGCCTCTGTCAGTAAAATGACAGATGGAAGCATTTCATCTTGGCTCCCATATGAATGACTGGATAGATATAATGACCTGATTTTGTTCAATTTCCTTTTGCTTAGGCTTTCATGAAATAACTCTTTTTCTGGTTTCCTGCTAAGAAAGCAGTTCATTTTGTTAATAATCTACTTTGCTTTTCTTCTGCTGCAAGTTAAGGACTATATTTTTCTGACAAAATGAACGCTTTCTGCCAGAAAGCTCAGATTTACCAGCTCTCACCAGATCAAAATGTCACAAGCAGTGGCTATGTTGGAAATCAGCTTGGGCTCCTCTGTCTAATGGTGTCAAGATCACGGCCATGCCAATTTCTAATTTTGCGACTCTGCCTCTCTGAACGTGAGCTTTCTTAAGGCAAATTATAAATAATAATGGCTGGCATGGTGGCTCACGCCTGTAATCCCAGCACTCTGGGAGGCTGAGGAGGGTGGAATGCTTGAGCTCAGGAGTTCAAGACTAACCTGAGCAAGTATGAGACCCCATCTCTAAAAAATAGCCAGGTATTGTGGCAGCTCCTGTAGTCTCAGCTACTCAGGAAGCTGAGACAAGGGGATTGTTTGAGCCCAAGAGTTTGGGTGAGCTGTGATGCCACATCACTCTATAGGGGCAGGAAAGTAAGACTCTGTCTCAAAATAAATAAATAAAAATAAATAAATAGGCTTGGTGCCTGTGGCTCAAGTGGCGAAGGAGCCAGCCACATATACCTAAGGTGGTGGGTTTGAATCCAGCCTGGGCCCACCAAACAATAATGATGGCTGCAACCAAAAAATAGCCAGGTGTTGTGGCAGGCGCCTGTGGTCCCAGCTACCTGGGAGGCGGAGGCAGGAAACTCGCTTGAGCCCAGGAGTTGGAGGTTGCTGTGAGCTGTGAGCTGTGAGCTGTGATGCCACAGCACTCTACCCAGGGGGACAGCTTGAGGCTCTGTCTCAAAAAAAAAAAAAAAAAAAGAAAAGAAAAAGAAAAAGTATAAAAATAAATAAATAGATAAATAATAACAGTCATCTTGCAGGGATATTATGAGGGCATAAGCTATGCATGGCCTGGCACAGAACACGGCTCAAATGTGGTAGCTATTTTTTTTTTCCAGTACAACTGTCATCCCATGCCCTCTGGCTGTGTTCTGGATGTGGCTCTGAATCATGTTCCTTTCCTGTCCTAGTCTTTCTTTAAGACCATGTTTGGCATGTAAGCCGGCATGATAATAGAGATAAACATGGGATTGACTGACAGGTCCCTCCTTTTCTTTCCACTGTACCCTGTTATATCAGGACCAACTTATTAAGAAATGGAACAGTAACTGCAAGCAGGGGTTGAAGGCTTGTGATGTGGTACAGACCAGGTGGACTGGGTGTCTGAAGGGTGGAAAGCCAGGGTTGGCTCGGTCTCTAACTTGCAACGTCTTTGGGCAAGTTATTGCACCTTTTGGGTCCTTGGTTTCTGTGTTATTAGACAGAGACTATTCTCTTACTTTTCTCCGTGGTCATGCTATTGTAAGGAGGGGAAGGGGCTGAAGTATCTCCCCTGCAGGCCTACTGGACACTTCCTGCGTCTGTCATTGTCTCCTCTCCTTTATTTATAATAGAAGAGGCTCATACCCGCTGATATAAAGACTGTTCATCCGAGGAACTGCTCCTTGGCCAGGCCCTGAGGAGGCAATGGTCCTACTGGGGGAGTTCTGATGGAAGGGAGCCTGGGAGGGGTGTTGGGGGCTATGCCAAAACATCAAGTGAAGACGCAGGGGACAGAGATGGACTTCCCGGTGTGGCAAAGGGCAGAATGTCAAAACCCGACATTTCTCTATATACACTGACATATTTACACAACTCCCAAGCCCCACAAACCTGCCTCAGACAATTGAACATGAGCAAATGCTTGAGGGGGGGTCAAGCAAAGTGTGGGTGTGGCTGCTACGCTTTCTCCTTTGCTGCTGCTTCACGTTCCCATCCCACTCCAGTGCTTGGACAATCTTTCTTCCCTCCCCCTCCCCCAATTTCATACTCACGTCCTGCAAACCATTTGCTGTCAGGAGTCACTTCAACATCTCCTTCAAGCACACACCTCTTTCTGCCTCCTACCATGCCCCACAAGCATTTTCATGGCCATCCCGTCCTCTCCTCTCATCCTGCCCACAGCATAGTCCTGTCCATTCTTCCCCTAACACCATCTTGGGTCCCCATCTGCCCCGATCCCACTTCCTTGTTTCAAGGCACCTGTTACTCCTGCTCTTCATCCAGTAGGGCCAGCCTAGCTGCCGAAGGAGCTCATCAATATGGCATCGGGGGCTGGGTCAGATCAACAGTACCTAAACCCAATGACCCATCACTCAAGAGGACACAATCGTTATGTGTCTCCTGATCAAAACAACTGGATCAGAATCTGATACAGCCTGTGGATCTAACCACCAGTTTATAGGAAAATAGAGGGACTAGACGAATGCACTAGTGACCATAGGGAAATTCAGTATGTGGTACACTCTACAAGATGAACAAGCCAGCTTTTTAAACAAATGCATAGCACCAAGGAAAGGAGATGGGGAAGAACTTGCTGGGTGCAGTGGCATACCTGTAATCTCAACTTCTCAGGAGGCCAAGGAGGAGGATGGCTTGAGTCTAGGAGTTCAGGATCAACCTGGGCAACAGTTTCTCCCAAGGAGGAGCTAACCATCACAGGTTAAAAGAGACTTAAGAACTCTATCAATCATTTGTAATGAGGGAACCTTCGTTAGATCCTAACGCAAACATATTTACTATGTTAAGATAGAAACGTTTTAGCAACAAGGGAAATTTGAAGATGGTGTGTGTTTTAAATGATGTTGAAGAATTATTGATAATGTTATTGAATGTGGTAACATTGTTAAAAAGCTCACATCTGTAAGGGTATATACCGTGTATGTGTATATAAACAAGGTAAATATACTGCAAGATAGAAAGACTGGGACTTGGACTGGCTCTCCCAGTGCCTGTAATAGAGCTTGATATGCTCAATAAATATGTGATGAATGAATGAATGAGTATCGGGTGGCCAGAAAAAATACATTCAGCCAAATTGGAATTTCAGATCAATGACAAATAATTTTTTTAGTGTAAGTCCCAAATAAAATATTGTACATAACCCCCCCACCCCCGTAAATGTTGTTTACCTGATGTGAAACTAGATACCTTGTATTTTTATTTGCTAATTCAAGTGACCTTGTGAATGAAAGATATTGCTGAGAAATCTGAGGTCTGAAGTTGGAGGCTGAGAGACCTGAGAGGAGCGGGAGAATGAGCCAGACAGAGTGAGGCTGCAGTGGGGTATGTGGACAGAGTTATGTGTAGCACACCTGGTGTGGGAGAGGCTGAGGCCGGGCAAGAGGCCAGAGCTGCGGTTTCTCAGGAGAGGATTTAAGAGGTTTTTAATTCAAAACTTCCTTTCTAATCAAGCAGCTCTGGACACTGCAGGCAGGGTGTCCACTCTGGTCTTCCAGGAACTCTGGCCTTGGGGAGGAGGGGGAGCCCTCTCCTCAAGCCAGTTATACTATGCTTCTGGAAAAAGGTTCAGAAAACACAACCTTCTTTTGTTTTTGAAACCGAGCCTCAAGCTGTAGCCCTGAGTAGAGTGCTGTGGCATCACAGCTCACAGCAGCCTCCAATTCCTGGGCTTAAGTGATTCTTCTGCCTCAGCCTCTCAAGTACCTGGGACTACAGGTGCCCACTACAACGCCCAGCTATTTTTTGGTTGTAGTTGTCATTGTTGTTTGGCAAGTCTGGGCCAGGTTCAAACCTGCCAGCCCCAGTGTATGTGGCTGGTACCTTAGCTGCTTGAGCTACAGGTGCCAAGCCACAACCTTCTTAATGTATTGCAAAGGCCTTAACATTATATTTGAGTGTGCTGTCGATCATGGACAGAGGATGGGCTTCATTAGGAGGATGGTCTGCTAAATGCTGTCATTGGAAAAGGGGACCACTGAGGTCAAGATGAAGCACGCGGGCCTTCCATTTTGTAAAAGGAAAGTTTTTGTTGTCTTACTGGCTAGAAAGGCTGTTTGTGGCCCAACCAACAGGCAAAGCTAAGGAGGAGAGAGGCAGAGAGAGCAGCAGCAGTGGAAGGAGGTGCAGGGAATGGGCCCTACAGCGGGGCTACCATGAACGCCTAGAAAGCACAGAAGAGAATTTCCATGGCTTGGTTAAGACCCTTTAAATGTATGTACCAACAGTAGAGTTTTTCTTTCTGTTAATCCTCATTATAAATTAAGGGGGAGCTAGTGTTTAGTTTACAAAGTCTCACTGTGAATCAGTAGCATCTCATGTTAGAGCCCGTATGCTCTCAGCTATTCCGAGTGAAATTTTACTTTATCCAAAAAGCCCAATTTGGGGGTTTATGGAAACACAAACTGTTAGTTTTATGCTCGTGTTCATAGAAGCCTTGGGTGGGCTCCTGAGTGCTGGTTCAGAACCCGGAAGGGAGACCTGCAAGGCTTATTCTAATTCAAGGGCTCAGAGGACACAGCCCTATTCTTGCCAGCCTATATTTACAGACTTCCTCCTTTGTTCCAAACCTACACTGTCAAAGGCAAGGTTACAGGGCTTTACTGTGGCCTCCTGGTGCGAGGCACTCCCCTTCCCCCTGGGCCGTGTCCTGCCCCCAGTGTGTCCTGAGAGAACACAGGCTGTGGGGCTGTGTCCTGAGGGCTCACTGGGGAAGGTCCACTTGGGCTTCAGGGAGCACCAAGTCCCAGTTAGCAGTAGACACACTTTCAGGGTCTTTCTAGCTCTGTGGATTCATTTGCTGAGGTTAGATTTCACTTCCCTTCCAGCTACAGGTAATGGATGAGCCCACAGAGGAAAGGACCGTGAGTACTGGTTTTCTCACCACAGGGGCCACCAGCACCTGCTGCCGGAATTATGCTGGAGTCAGAACTTACACGCGGTTTGCTTTGCCTCTGCCTGTCCTGGCGGTGAGGGGCATAAAGAATCCTTTGGTGACTGTCCCAGCAAACGAGCTGACTTCCATTTGCTCTGGACGCACAGGCGATGCCTGAGAGTAAGGTGTGGCCGCTGACAAGCCCAGAGGGCTCCTACCCACATCCTAAGCTCAGCTTTGTCCTCCCCTCAGCACGCTGTGCCCCTCCACCCTTCCCCTCCCTGCCCTCACTCCAGACCTCTCAGGGTCTTCGTGCCTCCTTCCCGTCTGTCCTCTCCAAGTGCAACATGTTCTTTAATAGTGGGGGTGAATGAGGAATGAGGAGAAACAGCCTTATAACAGAGGCTAAACTCAGAGACAGAGCCGCAGGTCACATTCATCAGACTGAGGGTCTGATTGTGGAAAAGAGTGGGCTGGGGACTTTGGGAGGAGGAAGCTGTCTGGAAGGGCATAGGGGTCACTCCTATTTACCTGTGCCTTGTATTTAAGGCAGTCTCTAGGGGACTAGACCTGATGTTCTGACTCAGGCTCAAACCCAGAGATTCCCATGCTTGGTCCAATCTCTGCTCTAGGGCGGGGAGCAGCAGCCCCCTGGATGCCAGCTTGGGCAGTGGCAGCCCTGGCCACGGACAGGCTGACTTGCCATCAGGTACCTTGGCTGATACATAAGAGAGGTCTGAGAAATGTTAAATATACCTTTTTTTTT